AGAAAGGGCGAAGGCGTGGATCGTCTGCTATTGGCCCTGTCAACATATGACCAATAGCAGCCGTTGCTTTATAGAGAACCATTATAACAGATCAAGTCTTATGCATTGTCTCATCCCACCCCCACCCTCCAGGGACCCATCGAACTAGGAAGAAGGGTAAATACGAAATCGTTGATAATGTTGTATTACTCTTACCAATACAGACCCGGCCGGTCTTCTGAGGATCGGTATTTTCATCGAAGAATCCGAGTTTGCACTGGCAGACAAATCCATCGTCAGTATCGATACAATCGGCATTCTTATCACAATCGTTCAGTTTTGGATCAGCACATTCGTTATACCTGAAAGATTTTGCGATGAAAAAGCAGCCCATTGGAAATTACGCTGGAGAGGTCAGTGATGCAAAGAAGAAAACCCGAGAAAAAGGCCTGGAACCCGAGAAATGGGACCCTTCCTTGCCCGTTGATTTGCGCATTGATGCGACTCTCATCGGTGCTGCCCTCTTCAACGCTAACGCTCTCTGCTGAACGGCTAGAGACTCAGACACGAGACGACGCGAGAGGGGGCGTACCGGCCAATAGCGCGCCAATGGGCCGCGGGAAGGCCATGCTAGATCGCCGGGGCATATCCTTCGATGCGAATTGCGTGTCGGTCCGCACCCTTAGGAGGTTCCGCCTGTCTCTCCACTAGGTAAGTTTCCCCTTCTTCGACCTTGCCCTTATCGTGGAATCCCCATTTGAAGCGTTGACCCTACAGTCTCGAAGAGCTGAAACCAAACAACCTCCAAATTTTTCATTTTTTTGATTTTCCTAAGGTCAAACATTCATAGAGGATTTTTGAAAATAAATAGTAAGAAATATTCCCGTCTCAATCTGGGTATATGAAGCCGGTCAGGGAGATGGCATGTTTTGGATTGTCCTCACGTTCTGTCTTAGAGACACATTCCACGACAATATGGCTAATGGCTAAAATGTGAACGTGCAGGTCTCACCCGACCCGAAAATAAAAAAGAAACGAAATAGACTGTTCAGAGCTCGCCAAGCAAAGTTCTTCCTAAATAACTGATCTACGGCATTGCAAGCCTTATAGCACGGAGAGAGTGCGTGTATAAGCGAGAGGTCTCTGACGACGAGTTGGCGAGAAAAGATGGAATCGGAGGAACGTAGACGCCAGGGTAAAAATAATTTCAAAGCGTGCACTGTGGATGAGGTGAAAACCTACTTATAGCAAAAACACTTGCTTATGGCAAAAATGCCCAGCAACGCCCTTCTGAACACTAGAAACGGTCAAACTGCCCGCTAGAGGGCCGGTATGATTCAAAATTAGATGAGATGGCAGAATGTGCCATTAAGCTCCTTTATGCACAGTTACCTGCAAACTCGTCCAGGACTTTCAGGCATTTGGTCCACATACGGTGCCTTGCATTTGCAATCGTAACCGTCGATAGTATCGATACACTCGGCTCTCTTGTCGCAGTCATTCAGATTCTCTGCCGAGCATTCATTGATAACTTAAATGATCAAATTTAATGTATAATTATTTTTATCGGGAATTTTTTCTTTTTGACTGGACAGAATAGGACTCACTGAATTTACAGTTGGTTCCAGGATTGCTTGGGTTTTGATCATGATAGTCTGGTTTGCACCTGAACAGTAAAATTTTAGCACCTGGTTTGATTTGTGTGTTCTCGTCTGCTCCGGGATGGACCTTTATTCAAAGCAAAATAAACAGCATGGGTAAAACTACTCCAGCGGCAATAAATCCCATATATGAAGGTACCACGTAGTCAGTCTCTGATCCAAGGACGTGATGAGTGAATCCAATAAATGATAGCAAGATCAAGATGGGAAAGTTTGGAATTAACGTGGCCTGATTTGAAAACCCCAAGCGGCGTTCATGTCCTTACGGTAAGGGGTGGGCATTCAAGACAGGGACCATGGTAAGTGACACTAGGACTACGCCTAGACGAGGGCCGAAACGCCAGGGAGAACATAGTTTGCTGTTTCGTACAGTAATTTGCACAAAAACTCGTCCAGCACGGTGTTTCGGTTTGAATGAATAGAGCTACAAACAACTTACTTGCACTCATAACCCTCTTCCTTATCCGTACAGTCAGCAAATCGTGAACAGTTGTTCAAATGCGGCATGAGACATTCGTTGACCAGCTGAAAATCGGGACCATAGGATTTTTCGAACGAGTTTTGCAGGTGGACATTTGGCACAACAATAGTAACGCATGATTGGATAATCTTGCAGTCTACTCCCGCGTGATCGCTTCGTTAGTTTTCCAATTGGAACAATTGTAACTTTCGGACGAGTTGCAAAAGCGTGCGAGGTGACTGTGTCCGCGTGATTTTGACACTTATACGTACGATAAAACTGCTCAAGAATTTCGCGAACCGTGTCGTGCGCGGCAAGGGCAAAATTGGGAAGCGAGGTTGCGGCTGGGGCTTTTGATAATGTGACTTCAGAGGACCTGAATAGAGCCAGTCTATGCATTAACTTCTAGTTCTGAGCCGTGAGTAGCATCTGTGCTGCTACTTTGACGAATATTTTTGGGACGGGGTGCCATTTGAAGACCGAGATTTATGTGTGTGTGTGTGAGCAACTGTCATTGGAGTGAGAGCAGCATAGCCTTCAATCGGTGCAGAAAGCGCTTTCAAAACGGTCGCGTTCTGTCCTAAGGGTTAGTATATGTGGTATCTATATGGTGTATCCACGTTGATAGCGAAAGGAGCAAGCACTTCAGTCTTATCAAAACGACGGTGAAGCGATTGTTTTGTGTGTGACCAATAGATCTTATTCAACTTACCCCAACACAGTTCGGCCAGGTTTCGTATGAATCCTTGGAGATGTCACGACTTCCGATTGGACATTCACATCTCGTACGAGTCCGGTGTGTCACGGCAGGTAGCTGCCGGGTCGCAGTCATTCAGTGATGAGTCCAAGCATTCATTGACCAATTCTCGACATTCACGGCCTTAAGCTTTGTATTGTTGTACGAAAGATTAGAAATCATCCGGTGGTCTCTATGAAGAGTCAGATTTCTGTCTAGCCGCCTATGGAATGTTGAAGGTAGTTTGAGTGCACGAGGAGTCGAAAGGCTACTGCCCTACCTGGTTTGGATTTGTTGGCGTCCACATATCCATCGCGACACTTGCAGGTGTACTTCTCCGGTCCGTCCACTTCTTCACAAACAGCCGCCACATGGCAGTCGTGTTTGGAGTCGTCCAAGCACACACGCTCCAAGCACTTGCGGCCTGAATACTTAATCGGTGTATCTTTGAAATACAAAGGTTATCGAAACAAACTGAATCCTACAGAACAATAAAGGATAAAGGATAAAGCATTTGCCGTTGATCAATCCCTTTTTGGGATGCGGCACGCATTCTACTTCCATTTGTACATTCGTAGTGGCGTTTGAATGCGATGTGGCCTATACAATGACTTGCGGGGCCAGCCGATGTACAAGTCAGTGTTTTTATCCTCCCAGACAAGTCTGGTACCAATTAACCGACCCCGGAGGGATGGAAGGCTTGGTTGGCCCGGGCGACTCACGACCCAGGATTTGATCCCCGGACCGCTCGCGTGGTAAGCGTGCCACTTGCCACTACACCACTTCCGCCCTCTACAGAACAATATTGAATACAACTTCTACTCTGAATAGCACTGCTTAGGCGAGGTTAAAGGCAGACGCCGCGATTCAATCGGTGTGGGTTATCAGACTCGAAGTGGGCGTGGTTGCGGAGTTTGATCTACGAGTAACGAAAAAGTACAAAACTGCTGAAAACTTTGAAACCACATTGTGCGCCGATCGTACGGATGGGGATTGCGCTCCACCTCTACAGGAGTCTTGTTCTCTGGCTTTCACCATATGCTACCGTAGCAATAGGAGGACCCGACCAATGGGGTCCGTCTAGCGGTGGTGGGCGCATCTTTGCGCCATGTAGTTCTAAGAATTTTTAGCAGATTTTTTCCGTTCTCAAAGCCTTGGTGGACCAAATACCACAACTTTATTCATTTCCAGAGACTTAAAGGAAAGGTTCGAAACCAAATTCATGTGATAATTCCATTTGAAAATGAAGGTGAGGATGCGAAGTGGTCTGAAAGTGAAGAAGAGGGTGAAGGAACTCTCCAAGAACTTAGGAAATACGAGCCTCTTTGCTCTACACTGGAGATGTCTGAGAGGCAGGAAAGAAGTTCATATCGAGAGAGCATAGCAGGTCATTACCGTTACCCGCGAGGATGGAAGCTTGGTTGGCCTCGGTCGACTCCGACCAGGATTTGATCCCCGGACCGCTGGCGTGGTAAGCGCGCCACTTGTCACTACACCACTTCCGCCCAGTTTTCAATGATACTCTCCACAATTCACTCATAACCGTTCAATACTTTTGTCGAATTCAGTTCTCAGCTCACATAGATCATTCATCACATAGATTTTGAAAGAAAATCCTAAAAACTTCGATGGCTAATTTCTCAGGTTGACTTCAGTTTTATGGAAAGGGTTGGGGTGATTGCAAAATAGTAACACAATTACTTTTGACATTCCGCGATTGATTGAAGGCGAGGTTCGTGTCCAGCATTGCTGGCTAAGCCCCTCCCGTGGCTCAAGGTGCTAGGGCAACTGCAGAGGTCGCACCACCTTCGCCCCTTGATGTTAAGATGCTCACGTTCTAGAAAGCTAGGCGCTGAAGACTTGACCAATCCCAAGTGTCCGGGCCAACCAAGCCTTCCATCCCCTCCGGGGTCGGTTAATTGGTACCAGACTTGTCTGGGAGGATAAAAACACTGACTTGTACATCGGCTGGCCCCCGCAAGTCATTGTATAGGCCACATCGCATTCAAACGCCACTACGAATGTACAAATGGAAGTAGAATGCGTGCCGCATCCCAAAAAGGGATTGATCAACGGCAAATGCTTTATCCTTTATCCTTTATCATTGAAACTAAGGCTAAAGGTGACGATTCAAAAAGAAATTCGAAGCAAACTGACCCATCCGATGGGGCAGTGGACTGCGATCGAGGAATCCGGCCTTACAGACACATTCGTAGTCGTTGGCGCCACGTTCGATGCACTGGGCATTCTTGTCGCAGTCATGACGTCCAGATTCACAGAGTTGATTCGCTGAAGTAACGAGCGTTGTGATTTTGAAGAATACTGCTTATTCTTCTGTTAACCCGAATACGTCTTCAAGAGTTCCTTGTATGACGAATATATGGCACAAGTACAAGTTTGAAACAAAATTCAATAATCAGCTCCGCCTATTCTGGACGAGTTCTCAACACTAGTTTCTTGACCCAGTAGAATCCCATTACCTACACAGTCTAGCATGGGAGCCTTGTTCGGAGATGGCGAGTTGAATGACTAATGATCTTCTTGAGATTTTCCAGGTCTTCTCGTAACGTTTGAGGCGAAAGTGATGTAGTGGCAAGTGGCGCGCTTACCACGCGAGCGGTCCGGGGATCAAATCCTGGGTCGTGAGTCGCCCAGGCCAACCAAGCCTTCCATCCCTCCGGGGTCGGTAATTGGTACCTTGTGCAGAACTAGGATTGTCCCTCCCCCGCGAAATCTACGCATAGCATTAAAAATCCCTCCCTTATGCCAATTGAAAGCGCCCACCTTTCTGTTGCCTTTAATTTTTTGATGAAACTGAACAGTCAGTCGTTGGCGTGATTCTTTCCGGAAGGTTAACTCTTGGCCCATCAGTTTACTTGATGTGAAAGTTCCAGAAGGGAAAACACTACTTTTAGTTGGGATAAGAGTTCCAAAAAAGAATAGCACCAAAGTTTACACCCATAGTACCCTTTACTCATTACCAATAGAAAAGTGTGCAGCAATTAGCGTTCCCTAGAAATGCCCCCGGGGAAGGTAGATGGCGCCAAACCGGGTTAAATTCGTCACGTGCTTCCCCCGACTAAACCCGTTCAACATTTCGCTAATGTGCTTTCATAAGATGTGACATGCCTTCAATGCATTACGTTTCCCAGTTTTTAATTGGTAGTCACACAGCGAAACCGGTGGCACACGGCTGCCATCAAACGCTTTTTGATGACTTATTGGTTATTTGATTAAACCCATAACGGACGGCGTGCGCCACAAGGTGGCGCACGACTATTTCTTTTGTTTTTGGAATGTTTCTAGCAATCTTAATATACCCATATATACTCTCAGCAATGTGGAATAACATATCTTCCCAGGACCTGGACGGCTGGATTTTTGACAAACCTACAATAAATTTTACATACATTTTGTCTTAATTTACATAAGTTTACTATTTGATGGGTGGCTTACCCATGGTTCGCACGTCCCGAGACCCCTTCCCCTAAATATAGCCACATCCTTGCTCGGGGTTGTTGTTTCGCATTTTTCGATAATGTCACCTACAGCTTCCATTCATTCTTTGCACCCTAGTTTTAGAGCGGAAAGGCGGGCTACGAACTTGTCGTCAACGGAAATCTCTTTTTTCGGGATGATGAGACTCCGACACCTACTTTAGCCCCGTCTTACCCCTGCTGTTCACATAAGCCTACACATAATCCTTACCCTGGGTGGCGGCGTGCGCCACATGGTGGCGCACGCGAACAATACCCTGGCCGTCCGTTATGGGTTAAGAAGATCGTAAGAATCGCCAAATGTGATGTGCTGCGCAAATGGATAAGTATTTTAGCTTTCTAATAAAGACGAAGGAACAAAATCCATTAACTCATTTTCCACTATAGCATAGGTTCTGAATTTGAGCAAAATAATATTGTGCCTCGCCGGGAATCGAACCTAACACCGATAAGAATCGCTGTCGCATTATATAGAGGCTCTAGAACCAAGTCTAGGAAGGGGCACGAGCTTCGAGGAAATGAAAATGACTCTGCCCTTTGGAGTCTTCGCTCCCTGCCTACGGCTTCTATTGGAAGGTACACATGTGAAAGTGCGGTAGAATGATGTGTTACACAATTGAAAAGGATGGGTCGACAAAGTAGCTCTTGTCCCACACGATGAAGAAGCCAAACCGAAGTCACTTATTGTTATCAAGGGCTCACTGGCTGCGCCGCATTGGATTTTTACTGGAATCAGAAAAAAAACTGATATTTATTGGTCTAACAGGTATGGCGGATAAGGAGGTTTGGCAAAAAGATGGCTGACGATCTAGCCGCCGAAGCGGTCCGAAGGCGTTGTGGCGACAATGTGTCCGTGATTCTTCTTCGGCTCCACGAATAGTTTGTTAAAAATATCCTAAGTGTTTTTATCTTGTCGCCTCATGTCTTCCATATCTCAAGCATGTCATTGTAATATCTAAGGTATTGATAGGGTGTCCTGGAAATAATAAGAAATTTCCCTAGTTGGATGGCCGTCCTATCTTCCTTCGCTATTTTTTCGATTAGATCTTCAGAAGCGTTTATCAAACTTTTCTTCTTCTTTATTTTATTGTATTGTTTCCGCATGTAATGTGTTTATTTGTAATTTCTATATTCAAATACAGTAGAATTTTAATATTTATGGCTTTGTCACAACAGGATTTCGGAAGAAAATTTGCTGAAAAGCGGCTGGTAATCGCCATTTTTTACAGAAAAAAACAAGAAGGAGATGTTTACGCCGTTCTTATGCACTGCCACCACAATGCCCCCGTATCTTGCGATAGCGCCTAAGAAAGTGAAATAAGGGGTGCTATTAGAAGAATGTTATAACAACATGAGGTGGTTCGTTTTGAATCCACTCTAAGAAATTTAGCACATTCTGATTTGGGACTTCCAAATATCAAGATGCTGTGTTCTACTTCTATCTACAAGTATACAGAACGCTTTAGTTCATGCCTTATAGAAGTATATATATATATATATGATTTACAATCTCACAATTATAAAACAACGATCTTAACTATGTATTGATCGATTTATTGAGTTGATTGAAATTGAATTTCTATTGAATTTGATTTTATTGGGATTTCCTTGTCATAGATTAATTAACGTTCCTAACGGGTCCGCCGGCCGTCTCTCGGCATATAACGACCGGGCCGCCCGGTGTCAGCGAGTCGACTTGACTGCGCGGGACGTGGAGCTCTTGCGAGCTATGCCCACAGTGACAGCGATAGCCGCGAGAACGGCAGAAGTGGCTGAAGCCTCTCTATCGCCCGCGGCCGCTATTTATCCCTCGAGGGCGGGGCTTAGGAATATCATGACCTGGGGTCATGACAATACGCATCGATAACTTAAGGCTCGCGGAAGTTTCCCCGTAACTTGAAAAGACCACGACCTCGAGATAGATAACTCTATTGATTAAACCTGGGCTATTCGCCATACTCAAATGGGGTGATTGAGGATAGGACAAGATCCTCACGAATTCCAGGATGAGTTCCCCTCCTTCCGGGCTTATCTGAATAGAGAGGGCGGCCGCCATACATTTGAAGCTACCAACTGAATTATACTGGGGAAGTAGAGGCCAAGAAAGGATTATAATACCCCTACAGACAAGGTCCGTAGGAATGTGCCATGGAAAATGGTGTAAGGTCCAAGTTCAGGGCCTCCCTGAGCTTGACTGCGGTCAGATAACTTCATATTCTGAATATGGTGAAGGCAGTGGAGAATGGTTCGCCTAAAGAGGAACATTTCGGGAACATTCTACCGTAAGACTTTCATGAACGACATCAATCTGTGAGAGGAGAAGTATACTGATGTACACGTCGAATTGAGGGAAGGAACAAGAGTCTCCAATTTTGTCCAGTTCCTAATCCTAGTGCTTGCCAAAAGTAAGATCAGCAAGGAAAACCTCACCTTTGCGACAATCGCGTCCGGGGTTTCTCAGCTCGTCATGATCCACATAGCCCTCTTTGCATTGGCATTTATAGGCGTCACGAGTATCTGGAAGGAATTCTTTCAATCGAGGCACAATAGTCCTATTCAAGCAAGTCAAGTCTATTTGTTTTCTCAACTTTACTGCAGGCAAAATTTTACAAAGTTGGTCGTTTGGAGCAAAACAGAGAACGAATTCAATTAGTTTTCTGAAAAAGATGTGACTTTCACCTCCAATCATATGTTTTACATGTATTGTCTATTTGTCCTTTTCAAAGTTTTTTTTGCGTAGAAGAACATTTAGAAGGGTTGTTCGGAAGTTTTAATCAAGAAAACCAATGGGTAACCAGTAGGTAACCAGTTACCTATGCAAATGGCGTGTTCATGGCAGTTGTTGGTGGTTTTCGAAGCACATTCGTCGACTAATGCGCGGCAGTCCAAACCGGCAAAAACTTTCATGTTTGGCGAGACATCCACGAATGACTCCTTACATCTGAAATGACGTCACTTATGATTATTTGCGATTTGAAGCATTAGATGCGTGAAGAAATCTATAGGAGGTGGAAAAGGGTAATGTTTCGAAAATATTTCTGAATTAGTGGCTTTACTCCACAATTGCGCTCTTAAAACCTTACTTTTTAGCCCATCGCGGACTGCCTTTATGGGAGCACCCACGTCTGCTGTATCAATAAGCAATAATCTATGACCAATTCTATCAGGACTATCGGGATTTAAATATATGGTATTTTTTGTGCCAGAAAAAACTTACGGATGGCTTTCTAACTTAATATAATGTTGGATAAATCAAACATAACTATCCCTTTCCGCTGTGCGGTGTGCTGCATATAATGCCGCAAGCGGTGCCCAATGGGTGATTACGGTGATTAGAAGTTAGTGAATTGATGAAAGCAATTGGGCCACAGATGTCACACTCCTTACCTGCAGAGGAAACCATCGGCTAGATCGAATGCAGTCGGCGTTTATCGAACAGTTGTGGCTCTTCTCCTCGCATTCGTTGCGAACTGCAAGGGAAAATGTTATCTATCAAAGAACTTCGATAAACAATTCGGAATTAGGAAGTAATCTGGCTGAATGTGGTGACATGGGATAAATGTGTAGAATTCTCTAACAGGGTGAACCATGAGTTCGCACTTTCGCGACCCC